TTATTAAATAGAAAAAATTAAAACATTTAGGTGTATAGATCGGTTATAACAAATACAGTATAGGAGAAATGGCGTATCATGAACATTGGCTATAAAAATTTTTGCCTTCGTGAAATCTCGCCCAAGGAATTTACGCCGCATGAAACTTCACTCTATAGGAATTTAGCCATAAAACAATTTCATCGCATTATTAAATAGAAAAAATTAAAACACTTCGGTGTATAGATCAGTTATGACAAATACAGTATTGGAGATATGGCGTATCCTGAACATTGGCTATAAAGTTTTTTGCCTTCGTGAAATCTCGCCCAAGGAATTTTCGCAGCATGAAACATCTCTCTATAGGAATTTATCCATAAAAAATTACATCGCATTATTAAATAGGAAAAATTAAATCTCTTCGGTGTATAGATCAGATGTAACAAATAAAGCATAGGAGATATGGCTTATCCTGAACATTGGCTATAAAGATTTTTGCATACGTGAAATCTTGCCCAGGGAATTTTCGCCGCATGAATCTTCACTCTATATGTATTTAGCCATAAAAATTTCATCGCATTATTAAATATCAAAAACTTAAAACACTTCGGTGCATAGATCATTTATAACAAATACAGTATAGGAGATATGGCGTATCCTGTACATTGGCTGTAAAATTATTGCGTCCGTGTAATCTCGCCCCAAGAATTTTCCCCGCATGAATCTTCTCTCAATAGGAATTTAGCCATAAAAAATTTCATCGCATTATTAAATATCAAAAACCTAAAACCTTTCGGTGCATAGATCATTTATAACAAATACATTGTAGGAGATATGGTGTATCCTGAACATTGGCTGTAAACATTTTTGCATCTGTGAAATCTGGCCCCAAGAATTTTCGCCATGTGAATCTTCTCTCTATAGGAATTTAGACATAAAACAATTTCATCGCATTATTAAATACCAAAAACAAAAACACTTCGGTGCATAGATCATTTATAACAAATACAGTTTAGGAGATATGGCGTATCCTGAACATTCGCTGTAAACTTTTTTGCCTTCGTGAAATCTCGCCCCAAGTATTGTCGCCGCATGAATCTTCACTCTATAGGAATTTATCCATAAATAATTTCATCGCATTAATAATATCAAAACTTAAAACACTTTGGTGCATAGATCAGTTATAACAAATACAGGATAGGAGATATGGCGTATCCTGTACATTGGCTGTAAACTTATTGCGTCCGTGACATCTCGCCCCTAATGATTTTCGCCGCATTGATCTTCTCTCTATAGGAATATCGCGATAAAACAATTGGCTGTAAACTTTTTTGCCTCCTTGAAATCTCGCCCCGAGAATTTTCGCCGCATGAATCTTCTCTCTATAGGAATTTAGCCATATAACAATTTCATCGCATTATTAAATCTCAAAAACTAAAAACACTTCGGAGCGGAGATCATTTATAATAATAGATTATTTAAAACAAATACAGTACAGGTGATATGGCGTATCCTGAACATTGGCTGTAAACTTTTTTGCCGTCCGTGAAATCTCTTCCCAAAATTTTCGCCGCATGAATCTTCTCTCTATAGGAATTTAGCCATAAAACAATTTCATCGCATTATTAAATCTCAAAAACTAAAAACAATTCGGTGCATTGATCATTTATAACAAATACATTATAGGAAATATGACGTATCCTGAACATTGGCTGTAAACATTTTTGGCTCCCTGAAATCTCGCCCCAAGAATTTTCGCCGCAGGTAACTTCTCTCTATATGAATTTAGCCATAAAACAATTTCATTCCATTATTAAATATCAAAAACTTAAAACACTTCAGTAATCGATCAGTTATCGCTCATTCAGTTTTGGAGATATGGCGTATCTTGAACATTGTCAGTAAACATTTTTGCCTCCGTGAAATCTCGTCGCAGTGATTTTCCCCGCATGAAACTTCTCTCTATAGGAATTTATCAATAAAACAATTTCATCGCATTATTAAATATCAAAACCTTAAAACACTTCGGTGTATTGATCAGTTATATCAAATTCAATATAGGAGATATGGCGTATCCTGATCATTGGCTATCCCCATTTGTCCCTCCGTGAAATCTCGCCGCAGGAATTTTCGCCTCAGGAATCTACTCTCTATAAGAATTTAGCCTTAATCTTCTCTCTATCGGAATTTACCCATAAAATATTTTCATTGCCTTATTAATATCAAAAACTTAAAACACTTCGGTGTATAGATCAGTTATAACAACTTCAGTATATGAGATATGGCTTATCCTGGACATTTGACGTTAACATTTATGCCGCTGGTAATTCTCGCCACAGGAATTTTCGCCGCTGGAAACTTCTCTCTATAGGAATTTAGCCATAAAACAATTTCATCGCATTATTAAATATCAAAAACTTAAAACACTTCGGTGTATTGATCTGTTATGACAAATTCATTATAGGAGATATGGCTTATCCTTTACACTTGGCGTTAACATTTTTGCCGCTGGTAAATCTCGCCCCAGGAAGTTTCGCCGCAGGAATATTCTCTCTATAGGAATTTAGCCATAAAACAATTTCATCGCTTTATTAAATATCAAAAACTTAAGACACTTATGGTCCGGTCTTTCTCTTATAAATTTAGAGATTCTTCATAAAATACAAATATGAATTTTTACCGTTATTTTTCCTGATCTGTCATCACGAATTTTTTAAGCATTTCACCCCAATCAACGCTGGTGATCCACTAGCCGTGAGGGGCTTTACATAGAGTGATTGTGAGGGAAAAGACTGTATATAGAGAGGTTTGAGGAAATCATAAAACAAGAACAGGGATCCAGGCAACAAAAGATGGCCATTGACCGTGCATTTAAATTTTTGAAGGTTGTAATTATCAGGGAAGTAAGTAAGAGGAAGGGAATTCCACTGTCGGGAAGCGCGACAAAAGAAACTTCTGGAGTGGAAGTGTCGGTTTCATTTAAGTATTACAACAGTGAAAGGCTGAGATCTATAGTCACTTTCCCATCGCCGCAGCGTAGCTTCCCTCTGCCTTTTCTGCAATCTCTTTCCATGTTAATTGTTCTGATGGACATTCCGCTGGGCTATCCTGACTGAATTTAAGCGTATTATTAAATTTTGGCATTGGAATTGCTAGGTGTAACTGTAAGTTCTATGCTAACAGTTTCTTCTTTCGTGCTTCTAGCTTGTTGATCTATTTAGGACTACATAGAGACTTGTGTTACGGTTTTTTGGGTATATAACACCTATAACTAGTGCGCGAGTCAGAATGACTTATTTCCCTTTATAGTCGACCACTGGAAGATTGACCAATCAGAAGCCGCCCAACACTGTATTCGTCGTGTATAAAGGCGGCCATCTTGTTTCCTCTATCGGAAGGACCAAAGGCGACCAGGAGAAGGATGAACTACACTCTGCTGTGATATCCACTGCGAATCTCCACTACGCTTTACTACTGTCTCCGAAATATTCACTGCCAACCTCTAGATTCTATACTCGAGGACGACCGTCATGAAAATGTCTAACAATTTGAGGTATTATGGTGACTGTAGTAAAAATGGTAAGAATGTGTTATTTTGGTGTAAGGAAGACTGTGGTATATATAGGTCAGTAATTGTGGCTAGCTAAGTTTAAGATAAAACAGCTCTAAGACCAGCCTTTTCCTATCACCCCTCTTGGCCTTGTGCCACATTTTTTTATCATATCAATGTTAATATTACTTTCCTCTATTGTACCTAGACTTTATGAATTTAAGCGCAGTACTAGATGGGCAACAAGGTTTTATCTTTTTACAGTTGAATTGGATAGACGTAACCGTATGTTCTATGCTGAAGGTACCTTCTCTCGCACTTCTAGCTTGTGGAACTTCAGGCTTCTTGCTTTCCAATCATCTTCAAAAATGTAAATGTAATGTCAATCATTATCTTCTGTTTTCGTAATTTTTGATCTTTTATTTTTTCCTTCCTTTTTAATCGTGTTTTTTTTTTTTTTCTCATATTCTCTCGCACTCTAATAACGCCTTACGTCTTAGTGGCTTTATTATCTTGATTAAATGATTAAAAAGAAATTGTGAATTACAAGTTAGGGAATGGTTTACACGACTAAAGGACTCCAACTGAAGCTTTGAAGTGATCTCAAACTGACCGTATATCTCTAGGAGGGTTGGATTTATGACTTTCTAAAGGCCAGGAGGGTGACAACATACACATAATCCCGCTAGAGTTCGTCAAATACATTGTACTTAACGCTCACCGTTAAAACACCCACACCCTCTTTTCCCTATACACACCTCTTTACCTTGTGACATGTTTTTGTATTTTTCAAAATAAATATTACATACCTCTTGATTTTCTCGAATTTAATCGCTGTACTAGATGGGCAGGTAGGTCTCATTATCTTACTGATGAAATGGCTGAATGTAACCGTAAGTTCTATGCTAACAGTTTCTTCTCTCGAGCTTCTCGTTTGTTGAACTATCTTCCAGCTTCTGACTTTCCTGTCAACTTTGATCTTCAAAAGTTTAAATGCAATATCAATCGTAATCTACTGTTTTCTTAATTATTCTCCATTTATACTTCTATCTCCTTAATAGTATCTTTTTCAAATAATCTCTCACATCAATAACCTCTTGCGCCTCAGTGGCTTTATTGCCTTGCTTGGGGCTCAAATGACTGAGAGAAAAATGTCATTACTGAACATACATTTTGATAATAAAATGTTTACAAAGAAATAATTGATTGATGTAAAATGAAAGAAAATATGTTGCCTCCACGTCATGAAATCAGAGTAATTTGAGCATTTAGTAAAGTGGCCAAATATATAATCATTCTCATTGGAGAATTTAAAATGCTTTAAAATTTGAGAAATTCATGGGGACTTTTTTGATGTACAGGAACTGAAAGTATAGAAAATAAATAATTTCTTATTTATTTAAATTTTACATTAAGAAGAAAAAAGTAATTTGGTTTAAAAGCTTTCAAAACAAATTTTCGATGGCAAAAAATGCAGTCGTTGTCAAATATGAAGCAGTCTATCTATCTATCTATCTATCTATCTATCTATAACTATTTCAGTCTGATCATGAATTAATTTATGTATTTCAGTTCGTTTATCTATCTATCTATGTATCTATCTTTCTATCTAATCTTTTGTGGGGAAAATTGTGAAAATGGCCTACCTCGGAAACGCGTTCGAATCTGCGCAGTATGTAAACACTGGTCCTTCCAACTGTAAAAAAGAAAACCAAAATGGCGGCGCCCGCGTTTTATGCCGAGTAGTCTCGGTCAGTTAACGTGAAATCTCGTTGCCTCGTGATTCGCATACAAATCGTGGTCGGTCCGCAGCTGTATAAAGCAAGCTCGTTTCTGCTGTTTTTTTCAAACGAGAGGCTTTCGGCTCGTGAGAAGGTTGGACGTGCGACCCGGTTTTTTCTTTGTACCTACCTGCTATCACCAGTTGAATTGTTGAGTTACACACTTCAAGCTATTTCGGCAATGGACAAGTTCGATCTAAAGTTGATCCCAGAATTCGACGGCTCCCCACGGGCCCGACTATCGTTGAATGGTTTGAAAAGGCCGAACGTGTTTGCAGGGTGTCCAAAATAAAGGAACCTGCACTAGTCATCCCACTGAGACTCACGGGAGGAGCCCTACGCAGTATATCAACAACTCGGGGACGATGCTGACCTAGAAGAGATCAGGACGCCCTGTATACGGCCTTTGGAATAGATCCATTCATCGCTTGGAAACAGTTCGTCGGACGACGGCTCGAGCCAGGTGAGACCGTGGATGTTTACCTGGCTGATTTGCGAAGGCTGGCAGTACCGTTTGGCGGAGCAACGGACCGCATACTGGGGTGCGCCTTCCTGGCAGGGCTTCCAGACGACACCAGTCGGCTCCTGCGAGCGTCTTCAAGATTGGACACACTGGGAATTGACGAATTGCTAGCCAGGGCCCGGAAACATCTTGAAGGACACGGAACAGATCGCGGCAGCCATGAGAACGCCTGAGACACCGGGGAGGGCCAAAAAGTGCTACAAGTGCGGTGGACCCAACCATTTCTCTAGGGACTGCCGGAGCCGAAGTGACGTAGGAGGGAGCGGCAGGCGGAACCGTGCACGACTACGCTGCTATCGCTGCAAAGAGTTAGCCATGTAGCACAGGATTGCTCGGGAAACGGTCCGGGGACAAGGTGCTGTCGCAACCCTTGTCCCCCTCTCGGTCAGTAAATGCGGCATTGCCTGTTATCAACGTGTACGTTGAGGGTAAACGATGTTCGGCGCTCGTTGACACTGGATGTTCCCGATCGATCGTTAGCGCGGATCGATGCGTGACATGGAACAGTCAACAAATCGAGATTCGGACGATTGACGGGGTGTCCCGGGCCTGTTGTGGTGTCGGGACTGTGTCAGTCCTAACAGACGGAGGGAGTCATGCCAAAGTCGACGTCTTGGTGGCACGTCAAAGGCCCCTCGGGTACGACCTGCTACTTGGGATTGATGCGATCCGAGCGTTAGGAGGCATGATGATCACGCCAGCCGGAAATGTGGAACTGGGTGAAAGAAGAAAGGTGTGTGCAGCCCTTTGCGTTAGTGAGCCGGATTTCGACGTCTCCTTCAATTCCGACGAGAGAGTGTGGACCGCCAGGTGAAATGGGCCCAAAAGACCCGCCAGTTCAGCTTCGCAACAAGGTCGCTGAGTACAAAGTTCCAGACAGCATCAGAGGAAAATACGAGAAAGAGCTTCAGCAGTGGATTGTGAACGGCTGGCTGATTCCATACCCCAGGAAAGACTGGGACCCCCAAAGGGTCTGATTCCCTTGATGGCAGTCGTGCAGGAGCAGAAACAGAAGGTGCGTCCGGTACTCGATTACCGCGAATTGAACGACTTTGTGGATGCTTTCACTGCCGATGCAGAAGTGTGCGCACATAAGTTGAGAACGTGGCGGCGGCAGGAGTCAATGTGTCGCTTCTGGATCTGCGGAACGCATATCTTCAGATTCACATCGACGAAGCGCTGTGGCCATTTCAAACGGTTATTTTCAAAGGCCAACGCTTCTGTCTTACGCGGCTGGATTTGGGCTAAATGTAGCGCCACTCATCATGAAATCCGTTATAGACGCCATCGCATCGCAAGACCGCACAATTGAAAGTGCCACATCAGCATACGTTGATGATATCTTCATTAATGAAAGTTTGGCCTCTGCATCGCGTGTAAGACAACACTTTTCGGATTACGGTTTGGTGCAAGGATCCGGTGCGACTGAGAGATGGAGCAAGAGTTCTTGGCTTGCAGGTCTGGGAAGAAAATGGCACCCTCCGATGGAAACGAGGAAGTCAAATTCCGGAAGCCCCTGATGTGTTGACCCGGCGGCGCGTATTTTCGTTGTGTGGGAAACTTGTTGGACACTTCCCAGTGTGTGGATGGCTCAGGGTGGCAGTTGCATTCGTCAAGCGCCTGGCAACCGCAGCAACCAATGGATGGGATGATAACATCAAAGATCCCCTCTCTCTGTCGCATACTAGCAGAGATGTTAAGTAGAGTGCGGGAACTGGATCCCGTCGGAGGAGACTGGTGCATGAGTGGTGACGAGATCACAGTCTGGGTGGATGCGAGTTCCGTGGCGACAGGAGTGGCATTGAAGTAAACGAAAATGTCATCGAAGATGCGTGCTGGCTGCGTCCGACTAATGATGCCAGGCACATTAATTTGGCTGAACTCGATGCGGCGCTTAAAGGGTGAATCTGGCTCTCCAGTGGAGGCGACAACGTTGCACGGTCACTGATTCGGCGCGTGTGCGCGGTGGATTTCAGACACCTTGACCGGGAAGGCACGGGTGAACACAAGGGCGGCTGGTGAGATGCTGGTCAGGCGACGGCTGGGCATTTTGCGATCGTTGGTGGACGAATATGGATTGACCGTAGACGTGACACTTGTGCAGTCCTGTCAGAACCGTGCAGATCGCCTCACCAGAGTACCGCACAGGTGGCTAGAACTGCTCAAGAGAGGAGAACCGGCACTCGAGAGCTGTGCAGTGGCAGGGAGACGACTGGATGAGGACCAGGTTGCCAATACGCATCGTCAATGCGGACATCCGGGCGTGAAACGAACCCTGTACTTCGCCAGGTTAGTCGACCCGCAGGTGTCCAGAGAAAGCGTTAAATCCGTTGTGAAGGCCTGCACAACCTGTCAGTCGATCGATCCGGCACCCGTTCACTGGGAAAGAGGAGAACTGAGCGTGAAGAGCAACTGGAGCAGACTGGAAATGGACATAACTCACTACAATGGTGAGAATTTTTTTAACACTCATTGATTGCGGTCCTCCAGGTTCGCGGTATGGCGGCCGCTGCGCAGACAAGACGCGAGCACCGTCATTCGACTGTTGGAGAATGTTTTCCTGGAGCGAGAGGCCCACCCATGGAAATACTGACGGATAACGATACTGCGTTCACCAGTAAAGATTTTAAAGAATTTGCGGACGCTTGGGACGTGCATCTGCGGTTTTCGATGTGCCTACTCGCCAAGTGGAAACGGCATCGTGGAGCGGAACCACAGAACCATCAAGACCATCGCAGCCAGGAAGGGCTGCACAGTTTCGGAAGCGGTTTACTGGTATAATGTCGCCCCGAAGGATAACATTTCACCATCCACGGCGCCGGCTGATGCACTGCACAAATATCATGTTCGCGTGAGGGGCATCGAAGCCAACCCGCTGCCTGAACTAGAAGTGACTGGAGGAGATTGAAAAAAGGAGACATCGTTTGGGTCAAAAACCCACGCGGCAAGTGCGTACGACAAAGTACGGCACTGGACGTGTTACGGAGGTTATCAGCCCGCAATCTGTGAGAGTTGATGGGGTGCCTCGTCACATTAAAGACTTGCGACCGGTGACGCAATCACTACCGCTACCGAGCGATGAAAGCGATTCCGAGTCTGGGGTAGTGAGCGTTCAATCGGCCTTGAGTTAGACCTGCAGGGCAGCGATTCTGATAACAGCAGCCTCCCGGCGGACACAGTGTTTACCGACACTCAAACCACAGACGAGAACACGCACGAGGATGAAGCTTGTGTTATCCCCCTTCGGAGAGGGACTCGACGGCGACGATCGCCACCTCCCTGCCCTGTTTGTGATCATGAGATCAGGGGGGTGTGGGGAAAATTGGTGAAAATGGCCTACCTCGGAAACGCGTTCGAATCTGCGCAGTATGTAAACACTGGTCCTTCCAACTGTAAAAAGAAAACCAAAATGGCGGCGCCCGCGTTTTATGCCGAGTAGTCTCGGTCAGTTAACGTGAAATCTCGTTGCCTCGTGATTCGCATGCAAATCGTGGTCGGTCCGCAGCTGTATAAAGCAAGCTCGTTTCTGCTGTTTCAAACGAGAGGCTTTCGGCTCGTGAGAAGGTTGGACGTGCGACCCGGTTTTTCTTTGTACCTACCTGCTATCACCAGTTGAATTGTTGAGTTACACACTTCATCTTTTCATGATTTTTCTATCTATATCAGTCATTTTATCTATTTATCTCTGTCGATCTATCTATCTGTTTACGTCTGTTCATTATTTATCTATTTTTTATCTATTTAAGTCTGTCCATTTACTACTTATCTATCTATTTCAGTCTTTTTATCTGTATATATATATATATATATATATATATATATATATATATATATATATATATATGAAAATTTCTCCGATTTAATCGGTAGAGAAGACAATATTTATGAATAAAAATGACAATAGGAAAACTGGTAATTGCTGACGCGTATTCGTATTTTGCTTTGATAAAGTCCACATTGGACGAAACGCGTCAGCAATTAACAGTTTTCCTATTGTTATTTTATTCATAAATATATATATATATATATATATATATATATATATATATATATATCACAGACTTATTTATTTATTTTATTTATCTCTGTCGATCTATCTATCTATCTATCTATCTATCTATCTATTTCATTCTAGTTATTATCTATCTATATCTATTTTTCTATCTA